CAGGGATAACTAGCACATTCGTGATATCCTGGTTGTAGAGGTATGGATTAAATTGATTGGAATATGTGAATTAATCTGGATAGGATAGGTAGTGATTCCCGGTGTTTCTCCCAGATCTTTCTCCCATTGAATTAAACCCGACATTTTAATTTGCTTGTTTTGTTTAATTACTTTGCTAGTAGATCATAGTTTCATCTCATTAAACATTTTCACATATAGTTTGCTCAATAAAATTGATCGAACTTAAGGTTGTACCAGTCCCTGAGAGACGATACCCGGACTTTCAGGTTTACTACGAGATAGGAATTGAAGCTATACGCTTTTGCCCTATCACCCCCGCCGTCAATCAACCGATCACATCCCTCTCGTGGTGTAGGTAAGGATCACGAACCCCTTCGCGATCTCTAAACTCGATTTATCGTTAGACTAATTAGAAGCTCGGGTTTTATTAGCGTTGACGTTGAGGGTTCGATAAACGAGGAGATCAACGTCCGGGGTCATCCAACCTAGGCCTAGGCGCGTTCTAGAGGTAAGGGAACTCGATCCCTTTGAGTTAGATCGATCAATTTGGGGATTTTTCGTGAGGGTGCAATTCTGAAGTTTTAGCACCAGACGTTCAGGCTTTTGGTGACAGGATTTGGGTGGTCACTAAAGATGTTGGGAATTTTCAGAAACTGTTTTAGATGGTTTAAATTGTTTCGTGTATTTTTGGGAATTTTTTCTTGAGTTTAAAATTTTTATAAATTGAGGAAGGTCCAGGAGATGGCTGTAATTTAATTTGAGGATTTTTGAAGATGTATTTTTAATTTTAGAAATTGTTTGAACATTCGTTTTAATTAAATAAAAATAATTTCGAGGAGTTTGTAAGGGTTTGATAATTTTTCAGGGTATAAGCACTCATGATTGATGTAGGAAAAATTATTATCCGAAATTTTAAGAAGGTTCAAGCTAGGTGGAAAATTCGTCCAAGACTAAAATAATTAGGAAAAGTGGTCGGTTTTGAAGGGATTGTTTTTAGAAAAATTTTAAAGGGGGTTAAGGGACCTTGGGAGCGAGTCTCAAGGGCTGGATTTTGAGGAGAGGATGTTCTAGTGAACCAAAGGGGAGTTCAAAATCGAGAAAGGGAGATGACATTCTTATTAATAGGTTCACGGAGATAGTTCGGCTAGGAGGGATTTCTTCGAGTGAAGAATCGAGGAGTCAGCTTTACAAGGTGAGTGTAAAGGGGGTAAATTCTACTCCTTACGTGTTCTTTCAAGAATTATAAGTCTTGAGTATTTTGATGAAGTGAATGTCGTTGTTTGATTGTGCTTATGGTTGATGATATGTGATTTTGTTTGAGCTATGCTTGATGTGAATGTGCATGAGTTCTTATTTAAATTTAAGCTTTAAGTTATTGTTAAAGTTAAGAAACAAGTTCTTTTCAAGAAGTAACTCACCTTCAAGAAGGTGAAGTCGTTTTAAGTGTTTTTAGTCACTAGCGCTAGTCCGTTGCCTTTTGAGACAGTTTGAGATAGAGCAGCAGTTATTCTCCTGAGACTTTTAAGATGGGCAGCAGTTATGCCCTTGAGAATCGTGGTGAAGAGCCACCACGATAAGTTTAAGATGTTAGGGGGATGAATCGTTACGACTTCCCTAACTAAGTTTAAGTTTAAGGAAAGCCTGGATGACTTCTCATACGTATGAGTTGGCAACCAGACTAGCTAGTGAGGGATCCCCGTGTCAGTCAAAAGATTTAAGTCAAGTTTTTGAGCTTTAATAAGGGAGAGTAACTTTAACTCCCGGAGAATTTTTGAGTTATAATTGTTAAGAGTGGAAGAATAAAACGACTTCCACTAGTAGAAGTTAAGTGTTTAGAGAAGAATACTAAAGTACTATAGATTTTATCGTAAGGGTGTAGACTGACCCCAACTCACTCACCAGATCGTAGAGGAGGAAATCCTAACCAGCCGGTCCGTGAGCAGCAAGCTAGAGGAGCTCAACACCACCGTCGTTGAGAGATGTCGAGCCAGGCGTCAGAGTAAGCATCGGAGAACTTTTTCAAGTTATTAAAACTTTATGGTTAAGAGTTAAGGATTGGAGATTCATTTATTTTGGACAATTTAAGTTTTGCCCACGTGTTAGGGCTTCGATTTGAGATATTGAGATATTTGAGTTTGGTATTTTATTCAAACTTGTGTGATTTGAGATTTTTAATTATACCCCGGGGTATAAATGTCTTTTTCCAAATTCAAAGAGGTGGGATGTATCAAGTTCTGCCTAGTGTTATCAGCTTGAATCAAACAACTTTTATTAAAGGTCGACAGATTGTTGATAATATTATGCTTGCTCAGGAATTAGTAAGTGGATATCATAGAAAGAAGTTGTCCTCGCGATGTGAAATAAAAATTGACATTATGAAAGCCTTTGACTCGGTGAACTGGGATTATCTTTTCATGATTATGAGGTTAATGGGCTTCCCTGATCGTTATATGAACTTGATCCATCTCTGTACATCTACGGCTAGATTCAATATATGTGTGAATGGAGGTATGAAGGGTTTCTTTAGTGCAAAAAAGGGAGTGAGGCAAGGTGATCATCTATCACCTTATCTATTTGCATTGCTATGGAGGGGCTGACTGGATTGTTAAATAGAGCTTCTAGTAAGGGACTGATTCATTTTCACCCTATGTGCAGTAAAGTCTCTTTGAATCATCTCTGCTTTGCTGATGATATACTAATATTCACAGTGGGTTCGGCTAGGGCTATCATGGCTGTAAAGCAGGTCCTAGACCAGTTTTATTGGCAATCTGGGATCAAGTGCAATCCTAGCAAGTTCTCTGTTTTTTTTTTTTGGTGAATCAGTAATGTATAAACAAAATGCGATTGATCTTTCTGGGTTTGCTGAGGGCTCCCTTCCAGTGAGATATCTAGGATTACCTCTTATCTCAGGTAAGCTTACTGATAGGGAGTGTGAAGTATTAATGGTGGCAATAACAAAGAGAATTAGGTCATGGCGTGCAAAGAAGTTATCTTATGCGGGGAGACTTCAATTGATTTCCTCTATAATTGCAGGTCTTGTTCAGTTTTGGCTGCAAGTGTTTATTTTACAAAAGAAAGTTCTCAAGCTTCTTCAAAAGCTTTGTATGGATTTCCTTTGGCATGGCAATGATACTGGCAGGGCTAAGGTTGCATGGGATCGATTGGCTCGTCCTAAAGCTGAAGGGGGACTTGGTATACGTGAACTAAGCTCCTGGAATACTGCTAGCTCACTTCGTATGCTTTGGCTTTTAATGATGCAATCAGGAGAACTTTGGGTGGCCTGGATGCTTGCATACTGCTGCAAAACTAGGGATGTCTGAACAATGAAGGAGAATGCAAATAGCTCTTGGGCCTGGAGACGAATACTAAAGAAGAGACCCATGGTGCAAAATCTCCTTTGCAGGCAGGGGGATTGCGCTATGTGGAACGGGCAACTAATGAACAAGTATTCTGTCAAGCTCATTTGGAACACCCTGCGTCCTCAGTACAACAAAGTTGAATGGTTTAAATTGGTTTGCGGACAATTCACTGTGCCCAGGTTTAGTTTTATTGTCTGGCTTATCATTATGGATGCTATTACTCAATAAGCAAGCTTATGAGATGAGGGAAGCTTAATGAAGACTGATGTGTGCTCTGTCATAGTGCTAGTTAAACGAGAGATTATCTGTTTTTCTCTTCTAAGTTTGTAAAGCAAATAGTGATTGGATTCCTTCGCACCGAGCAGGTATGTAGGTCTAATTGGACAGAATCATTGGGTTCTGCTTGCCAAGCTGCTATGCGTGGCCAGGGAAGTTTCTTCGGAGTAAAGTGGAGTATGCTGATTACGTACGTTTGGCAGGAGCGCAGCCGACGAATCCATCATGAACTAGAGCGGGATATGATTGTGCTGCAGGACTTAATGAGGAATGACTTAAAGATGTTGAAAATTTGGTAGTTGTTTGTAGTTACATGTAAGTAGGGGGAGTGGTTATATGAGGATCTATCTCTTTAGTTCTTTCTCCAGGGTGGCCACAATGGCAGCCCTTTTGTTGTATTGGTTTTGCGAATTGCGAATTGCAAATTGCAATTTTGATTTACTTAATAGTAAAAGGAAACTGATTCAACGGGAAAAAAGATTATAAATGGATTGTCTAATTTAACTATGGAAGTATTGAGGGGGTGAAGATCACTCGTCCTAAATTTGGATTTGAGAAATCTCTAAATTCATATTACTAGTTTGATTTGGTTAGTCCAATTCAACAAAATTTTCAACATGTTGTATAAACTAGTGATTATTGAAAAAAGAAAACCCCCAGCAGATTCATTTCTTGTGCAGCAAGAGACACTTCATTGTACATCGCGACTCATTGTCACTGTTTCGACTCGAATGCGGCTTGGGTGTGGCCAGCTGCAAGGAGTTCGCTGATTGGGTCTGGATGAGATTTCTGTCATTCAGTTGTGTTTGGACTAAGGTTGTCCCTGTGGTCCGATTTCAGTTGCTTGGGTTCCGTTCCTTGACCCTCACCTGCGTAGTTGTCCAAGGAGGAAATGACGAGGACTTAGATGTAGGTTTTACTTAGTTCATAGGTGTAGTTGTAAACTGTATATACTTTAAATACTGTATAGGTAATTATTATTTGGTATATATATGTGGTTATGTAAAGGATAATTTAACTTTTCTTTTCCCATTTAATCAAATATGCCTGAAGGCTTCTCTAAACGACATGGTATCAGAGGGTGAAATCCACCTTTCTTGTTTTCTTTGACTTTCAGTCATTTCTTTCATTTTCTCGAGGATTCCAGGAGAAGGGAACATCTCGTTCGTTTCTCTCTCCTCTGCTTCTCGATCGTTCTTCGATCGATTTGATCCATTTTCCGCTTCCTCTATTCTTCAATTTGATCGTTTCTTTGCGACGATCGCCGATTCGTTCGTTTCTCCGCGACGATCGTGATTCTTGATTTCCTTTTAGTCAATTCATTCACATTTCAGATCTAGATCGATGGCGTCTTTCTCCGTCGTCAACGCGACGTTTTGTCCGCCGCCTTCTGGTGTTGCGTCGGGTGGTGCTCCTCCGGTCACTACGATGCCTAGCAGTGTTCCTCCGATTAGTCTGATGGCTGGTGGTTCTGCATCTATCGGAGCTTCATTCTCGCCGGTGCATCCGTTCTTTGTGGCCAATGGCGATCTCTCTGCTCAACATCATGTGACAGTGCTACTATCTTGATCCAACTATCATAGCTGGGCGCAGCGATGCGAATGGGATTACATGCAAGAAACAAGCTCCCGTTGATTGATTCTGGCTCACCGGTCCCGCCGCCAGATGATCTTCTCTGGAGTGCTTGGGATCCGGCCAATGTTCTCGTGCTCAGACGGATTCAGCGGTCAGTTACATATGAGATTTCACAGAGTATTCTGTGGTTCAACACAGTTGTGGAAGCCTGGGAGGACCTTCGAGTGCGTTTCAGTGAAGGCAATGAGAACCGAATTTCGGACATCTATGATGAGATTGCTGCTCTCAAACAAGGTTTGATGTCCATCAGCACTTATTTCACCAAATTCCGCGTGTTATGGGAAGAATTCTAGATTTTAAGGCCTCTCCCTGTGTGTACTTGCAACCCTAAGTGTGTTTGTTCTGCTTCGTCGATTCCACGAGAGTATGTGCGTAGGGATCAGGTTATTAGGTTTCTGAAAGGGTTGAATGAGATTTTTTGTCACATTAAGTCTCAGCTGTTGCTGAATGATCCACTGCCTTCTATTAATAAGGTCTTCTCTAGTCTAGCTCAGCATGAACTACAGTCTGGTATTCCTTCGTCACTCCATACTGCTCTTGCTGCTCATGGAACTTCAAAGGGACAACATTCTGGTCAGGTCAAGGGTCAGGGATCTTCTGCTCAAGGTCATGGTGGGGGTAAGAAGAGGCCTTACTGCAATCATTGTGAAGGATATGGGCATACAGTGGATCGTTGCTACAAGCTTCATGGATATCCTCCTGGATATAAACATCGACGGGTCAATGCTGCTGTGACAGACCCTGAGTCTCCTAATCCACCTACTGAAGTGGTTACTGATGATTCTGTGGTGCTTACTAGAGCCCAGTATCAGTCTCTACTGAATCAGACACAGTCTCAGCAAGTGCAGCGTTCTTCTGCTACTCCTGTAGCTAATCTGGTCACTTTGGCTAGGCAGATCACTCCCACACCAGATGTTCCTCTTCCTACATCTGCTGATTCTGGAGTATTTCCTCAGCCTGCTGATTCTGGTTATATTCCTCAACAAGTTGGGATCAACATTGTTTCCACATAAGACACTGGTACTGTTCTATCCTCTATCAATTCATTTTTTACTTCAATGGATTGGATAGTAGATAGTGGTGCTACTGATCATGTTGTGTCAGTTTTGAATCTATTTCAAACATATGAAACCATAAACAACATGTTTGTTTCTTTACCAAATGGTGTGAAAGTTCAAGTTACACGTATAGGGAACATTGAGATCACACCTAGTCTTACTCTATATGATGTTCTATATATTCCTGCATTTACATTTAATCTCATCACAGTATCTAAACTAGTCAAGTCATCAAATTGTTCATTACAATTTACTGCCGATTCTTGATTAATTCAGGATCTTTCGTCCCACGAAACGACTGGTACAGCTAAACAAGAATCCGACCTATATCATCTCAACATGACCCTACCTAAGTCACAACTATCTTCCTGTAATGTTTGTTTCAATACTGCTTTTGTTCCTTTCGATATTTGGCACTATAGGCTTGGCCATACTGCCATTCCTTTATCCCATATCTTAGACAAGGATGTTATAAACCATTTGTTAGTAGTACCAAAACTCCTTGTACTGTTTTTCCTTTAGCAAAACAAAAGCGTCTTCCCTTTCCTTCTAGTACATCTCATGCTCTTATTCCTTTTGAATTACTTCATATATATATATATATATATATATATATGGGGTCCACATCAGGTTCCTAGTGTTGATGGCTTTAGGTATTTTCTTACTTGTGTTGACGATTTCTCAAGACACACTTGGGTTTATCTAATGAAAACAAAAGGTGAAGCTAGGCAAATCTTGTTAGATCTGCCGGTTTTCGTTAATACTCAATTTTCATCAAAAATCAAAACAATCAGAACAGATAATGGCCAAGAATTTAATATTCCATCTTTCTATAGCACGTTTGGTATTATACATCAAACGACTTGTGTAGCTTCCTCTCAACAAAATGGTCGTGTTGAGTGGAAATACCAACATATATTGGTTGTTGCCCGTGCTCTTATGTTTCAAGCTTCATTACCAATCTCATTCTGGGGATTTCCCATTTTACATTCTGTCTTCTTGATCAATAGAATGTCATCCCCACTTTTACAGAATCTATCACCTTTTGAATTACTTTTCCAAACTAAACATGCATATAGTGATTTCAAGGTTTTTGGTTGTCTAGTGTTTGCATCAACTTTGCAACATAGCAGACCAAAATTTGCTCCTAGAGCTGACCCTTGTGTTTTCTTGGGATTCATTAACACTGTTAAAGGGCATAGACTTTATAACCTAGTCTCTCATAACATTTTTTACTCAAGAGTTACTGTATTTCATGAGCATGTTTTTCCTTTTGCTAATTTCAAATCCACACCTGAATTTGATTTCTGTTTTCCTTGTATTCAAGTTCAGGAAACAGTAGCCCATCATAATTCATCTGACTCACATTCTCCAATTGACCATACTCTTCCTTGCCTCATTCTGAGGGGCACTTAGATTCATCTTTACCTACACCTGAGGAACCTCTAGATGTGGTTGACATCATTCAAGCAGTAGAACCCCCACCATATGCGAGGCCTCCTCGTGTTAAGGTGCGTCCTAAAAAGCTAGATGATTACATGTGTTGTAGAATGTAATGGTGTTACATTTCCTTTATCTAAGGTCATGACTTTTGATAATCTGAGCACAGAATACAAGAAATACATTCTGACCAGTTCTGCTATCTTAGAACCTAGATCCTACAAAGAAGCCATTAAGGATCCTAGGTGGTCAGAAGCTTGTAACTCTGAATTAGCCTCTTTGGATAAAACTAATACATGGACTATTGTAGAATTGCCTATTGGTAAGATTGCCATAGGAAACATGTGGGTTTTGAAAGTTAAATTTCTTTCCAATGGTGACATAGAAAGGTTTAAATCTCGTATAGTAGCAAAGGGGTACACTCAAACTCCTGGCCTAGACTATTTAGAAGCTTTTGCACCAGTAGTCAAACACACCACTGTTCGACTTGTCTTATCATTAGCTGCCATTAACAACTGGCACTTGCATCAACTTGATGTTAATACAACACTTCTTCATGGAGACCTTGATGAAGAGGTCTACATGAAAATCCCTCCAGGTCTGGTAGTACCTCCTGGCTTTAAAAATCCAGTATGTCGTCTTAACAAATCAATTTATGGTTTAAAACAAGCAAGTCGTCAATGGAATATTAAACTGTCAAATTTTTTAACTTTATCTGGTTACAAACAGTCCAAAGCATATTACTCTATGTTTTTTCGTAGCCATGATAAGTCTTTCACCATTGCACTTGTGTATGTTGATGACATAATATTGGCTGGAAATGATCTCAAAGCCATTACTGATCTTAAACAACAACTAGAACAAACTTTCACAAACAAGGATCTTGGAGAATTAAAATTCTTCCTTGGTCTTGAAATTGCTAGGACTGATAAGGGTATTCTGTTATATCAAAGGAAATTTGCATTGGATTTGTTAACAGATTATGGTTTTCTCAGTGCAGAACCTTGTGATTCTCCTTCTGTTCCAGGTACCAAACTATTTGCTACTTCTGGTAAGGTTCTTTCTGACCCTTTTGTCTATAAACGATTGGTAGGGAGACTTCTTTATCTCTGTAGTACACGTCCTGACCTTGCTTATTCAGTTCATCAATTAAGTCAGTTTACTCATAGCCCCACTGACCTGCATATGCAAGTTGCTGAACTCATTCTGCGTTACATCAAAGGTACTGCAGGTCAAGGACTCTTCTTCTCTGCTGCTTCTGAACATAAATTGAAAGCTTTTTGTGACAGTGATTGGGCTGGTTGTCCAGACACACAGATCTACAACAGGTTTTTGTGTATTATTAGGGAATTCCTTGATCAGTTGGCGTTCAAAGAAACATAAAACTGTTTCCCGCTCTTCAGCTGAAGCTGAATATAGAGCGATGGCAAGTTTAACTTGTGAATTGATGTGGCTAAGATATGTACTGAATGATTTGCGGATTTGTCTATCTTCTCCTACTCCCATTTATTGTGACAGTATGTCTGCTATAAAGCTTGCCGATAACCCAGTCAATCATGAACGTACAAAACATATAGAGATTGACTGTCATGTTATTAGGGATAGGATTCTAGATGGAGTGATTAAAGTTTTACATGTTTCTTCTGCTAACCAACTTGCTGACATGTTTACAAAGTCTCTTCCAGTTCATGTTTTTCAACAGTTGCAGGCCAAGCTGGGTCGTCTTGATATATACGCACCAGCTTGCGGGGGGAGTTGTCCAAGGAGGAAACGACGAGGACTTAGATGTAGGTTTTACTTAGTTCATAGGTGTAGTTGTAAACTGTATATACTTTAAGTACTGTATAGGTAATTAGTATTTGGTATATATATGTGGTTATGTAAAGGATAATGTAACTTTTCTTTTCCCATTTAATAAAATCTGCCTGAAGGCTTCTCTAAACGACATGCGTTGATTAGGGATGACAATATTACCCATACCCATGTGTATTTCACTATCCAACCCAATTGGGTTGGGTATGGAATCCAAATAGATGTTAGATGGGTAGAGTTTGATGGGTTTGTACCCATACCCATTTACTTGGGTTGGATTGGGTTTTTAACATATGGATTTGGGTTTGTACCTATACCCAAATGCAAATTACAGTTTGGTACCTAAACTTAATAGTTATGCATATTTAGTATCTAAATTAATTTTTTTCATATAAGTCCTCAAAATATCGATGAAAAATTACATTTTAGTACCTAAAATTTTTTGGTCTCACAGTTTGGTGCCTAAACTTTTCAAGTTTTACAAATAGGTCCAATTTTTGTATGTGTAGTTAAAACACCCTCAAGTAAATGGATATCCATATCCAACCCATACCCATTTAGATAATATCCATATCTAACCCAAACCCATATACAAACCCCAAACCCATACACACATCACCCAAA